TAATAAAATTTTTTTTCTTATATAAAAAATTTATATTTTATAATATCAAACTATTTAAATTATAAATTTTTTTTTATAAAATTGTCCCCATATAAATATTATTAATAAAGCTTCTTTAACACCAAAAAGTAAAATAATAAACAATATTTCACATCTTTCAAAAAAAAAACAATATCTCACATCCAAAAGATTTCCCGGATAAAGCCCACATCAATATCAATCATGGGGCTTGAATATGATGGGAAAAAAAAAAAAAACCCTTGAAAAGAAAATTAAAATGTCTCGTAGAAGTACAACAAAACCAACGGTAGCAGGCACTCGACTCGTCGAGTCAATTGACAGTTTTTTAATTTAATTTGAGGTGTATTTTTTTTTATAGGTGAATTTCGAGTCTATCCATTCGATAATTTGATTAAAAAAAAAAAAACTAACGGTAGCAGGGATACCACTTGGATATTTTATTTTGATTTTTTATTGTACTTGATAAAAGGCAATACATTAATTATGGGGCAGATTTATATACTTTGAGGCAGGACCAAAAACGACATGTTGAGGCAATGTTTTATGCCTCAACTTTGTTCATAATAAATATTGTTGTTGCTTTCAGTGGATTGGGCAAAGATGGAGAGACCAGTTTATGTTTTTAATGGTCAGCTGGTGTTGGGTGTTGATGTTTGTATTTAGATCTAAATCTCCAAGTAGGGTGTTTATGGTACGGTTTAGCTTTTCTTCGATTAAAGGTTTGTTTATTATATTTTTTATAGTTATTTATTTAATAATATATTATAATTTGATAATATTTTCATGATTTAATAATCATCTTTTTATTTGAACATACAGGTTTTGAACCCTGCCGGGGAGAGGGATGCACCGTGTGGCTATGCCATTAGGCCTCAAGGGCCAGTGCAATCATTTTTTTATTATAAAAAAATTTTTATGTTAAATTTAATAAGTTTGGGATTCGAAATTCACCCAAATGTTCAGAAAATTAATATATTATAATTTTAAATTTATAATTTTATATAATATTATAATTATATCATTATAATTTTTTTATGTAAAGTATAGGCTAATACAAGTATACATCACATATTTTATAAAGGAAATGATTTTTTAACACCCATTTTTTGCATTTATTGCTTTCCCCTTGACTTGGCATGTCTATGTAGTTACTATGTTACTTAATTTTAATTCGGTTTTGATTTTTTTATGGTGAAAAGTTATAATAAATTTTATAATATTTATTCAGTATTAAATAAATATACGTATAATATTATGTGTCTGAGCTAATAAAAATTAAAGATCAAATTAAAACTAGGTGCTGTTCAAAAAAAAAAAATTAAAACTAGGTGACATGACAACCACATAAACATATTATCTCAAGATATAAGGAATGAATATAAAAAATAAGTGTCAAAATATCATTTTCCAATATTATAACCACTTAAGCATAATACAATAAAATTTGAAATATCTAAAGAAAACATGTATCTATGTGGGAGTTGAATCCATTTCCTCCACGTTGGGGTTCAGCCAATAAAAAGCTAGATTAACTTGCTTAAGTAAAAGGAATAATGAAGACGATTATGTTTTGGGGTTACACTTGCAGGAAAGATAGGGACTGGACAACCAATAGAGAAAAAGGAACGTGGCTTTCTCCCACTAAAATAATGTGAGTATACAGTGTACACATTAAATGGTTAGTGATAAAATACCAAATCAATGTCCGCTTTTGACTTCTAAATTAAGGCCTATCCATAACCCTGTTTTATAAATTAGAAAAATGTTAATTGCACTCAGCATTTTACACTTGGGACATAATTGACTCGAGTGTAATTTGTTTAAAAAGAATAAAAAAAATTGCATTTGACCGTTCGGACCTAATGACATTAGTTATATTGAAAAAAAGTGCACTCCTCCTTCTCTCTTGAGCCTGAGTTCGATCCCGTTTCTTATAAACATGTTAAAAAAAAGGATAAAAAAAATTAAAGAAATCAAAGCATGCAAAAGCAGGGAGCTGGATTGAGATAGGAATGTAAACTGTGTAGAAATTGAAAATGTTACATGTTATAAAATTATTGTGTGAGATGATTTTTTTTTTTTTGATATATCTGATTATGATGGATTATACAAGAGAGATTGTATGAAATGATATAATAGGTTATAGTGCTTTTTATACTATATTTGTATTTATATAATATCATTTTTTTGGTTGATAAAAAAAAAAAAAGGAGAAGCCACATAGCACTCCTAGAAATTAATTAGAAAGAACACAAAAATAAGGACCTGTTGGGAAAAGGAAAGAAAACTATCCATCCCCACGTCCTTTAGAATTTAGATGCACTCCTTTGTCCCACTAAGACCATTTAAAAAAAAAATGAAAGAAAAGAAAAAGGCTGCCAAAATACATGTGGGAAAATAAACTGTTTTTCTTTTTTGACCAAAAATTGTGACCTCTACAGGCTCTATTAGTTTGTGTTATTTACGGGTCACCATCATCCAAGGATAAATGCTAATTGCTTTAAAGTTTGAATTTTCTATATATGCTATTATGAGAATTTTCAAACATAATCTTTGAAAAGAAAGCAAGAACACTGGATAAAGATAGATGAAATTAAGTTTGATTTCTGTACTGAAAAGATTCGATCATTAAGAGGAAATATGATTTCTAGTTCAATGTAAAAACTAATCTGATATATTATCTAATTAACCATAAGATTATGATAGAGTATCGAATGTGAATCTACACTGTAATTACATAATGATAATAAATGGAAATGGGAAGAATCCAAAGGGCAACAAGGCTATATCCCTAATCACACTAATTATATGTTAAGGAAATAATAATTTGATCCAGGACTGGTTGGTAACTAACCTAACAAGTGGGACAGATGCTGACTAGGGCCACAACGCTTCTCTTGGCTTATGCATTGTATTGTACCTACCTCTTCCCTAATTTCTGTACAAATGTACTTTATTACTAAACTAACACATGATTTACTAGCCATTGTCAATTAAAAATCTTGAGTGGTTGTGGGAGTTTAACTAATTAAAGTGGGTATGATGTAGGAATTCTAGAGACAATGAGCGGAAAAGGGTTCCATTGAATGTTAGAAAGATGCATTTAGATTCTTAATTTGTCCCCTTTATTGTCCCTTCTTAATCTTTGAATGTCCATATGACCACAAAAAAGAATGGAGGAAAGTGTGGGTAGAGTCATGTGGTAGGCAGTGTCTGCACTCTGCAATCTGCTATTTAGTCATAGTTTTAGGTAAGGTTTTGCGTAAAGTTAAAAGGGTGCCTAATTTATAAGAACACACCAATAAGCAAGTCATGGCATAGGTGAAAATGGGTAAATTATGCATGAAAGGGAAAGTTTGGATGTATATTCCATCATACAACATATATTAAGAAAAAATTTTTAATACAACTGTTATATATTTTACATAATATAACGAATCAATAAAATTTTGATAATCCCTTAAAACCCGCTTGAATTAGTATCACTACAAGCTACTTTCATTGTCACTTGATGGTCCCCAAGCCTTGTTTTTACAGCTAATTAATTAGGTCAAAAGGATTGACAGCCCCTCCCATTTAATTGGAAGGGAAAACACATGAAACAATCTGGTATGACATTATTCTTACTAAAATAATGAACCAAGCCCAACATTTTCTTAGCTATCAAGTAATTAAACCACTGAAAAGACTAATATAAGTAGCTGAATTTAATCAAGATTATCTGAAATTTTGACCACATTGTCTCCTTTATATATTCAAGATTTCTTTCTTGCTACTCCATCCTTGTTGCTTCAGCACCAAATTTGATTACCACCTCTCCTTTTCATGGCACCGTTACAACTTTCTGGTGCACACCAAAACTGGTAGTTGGTGGTAACATGATTTATGAGTGAAATCACAGGAATATTAACTAGGGATAAAATCCCCACCCCCCATCCTGCTTTATTTAACGTCGTTTTCGACAAATGGTGGCCTAACCACAACATTTTGCCTTGTGTGGATGGTCCAGACAGGATCCTTTGTATAGATTTGCCAGCACGTCAAAAGGGAAACGCAAGAGACAAAAGTCTATTGCCTAAAGAATTTTCTTTTTTAACCAACATTTATATATATTTTTTTCCGATATTGAGTAAGACACAATCTTATTTTCGCAATAAAATCTTCTTAATTGTCTATCCCCCCCTTTTTTTTTTCTTCAGTTAAACTTGTATCCAGCTTTCAATAAAGGAAAGACTGTCGAATGGGGTGACTGCCCTTATGTTCAACGATTCCATCATCTAAGGATGGTGAAACAATTCTTTTAAATGGTAAACAATTTAGTATTATTATCAATAATTTAAGTAATTTAATGATCATATCATTTAGTTACTTTTTATTATATCATTAAATAACTAGATATACATCAATAATAAATTTAAATTCCATTGTTTTTTCACATAATATTTTATTAAAAATGCAAATTTATTATGATTAAATTAACTTTAATTAATATTTTATATAATTTAATAATTATATTGACATGTAACACTCTTTTTAAAATAATTATCAAATAATAACATAATTTTTATAATAATAAAACACTTTAAAGACTCACAACGCAGCTGTTAACAACAATATCAGATGAGGCCTATATAAAGGACTATTTTGAGATAGAATCGTGTCTGAATTGTTTTCCTGTTTTACCAAAATAAAAATATTAAAAAAACCTGAAGCTACCGACAACTGCATGATTAAATAGAGGGGGGACGGTGCCGTTGTTTTTATTTTTTTTCTTTATTATATTTTATTTTAAGTTTGAAGGCTGCGTGGTCAAACTATAAAGGTAGCGTAGAATCTATGGATACCATCGAACGACATGAATAGTCAGTTGCCATTTTTTTTTCCGTTCAAAATAAAAGGTTTTGAATTCGAATGGTATGACATGCAGATGCAGATGAAATGAGATAAAAAATATGAAATGATTATCTCTCTTGTACAACCCAGATAAAAAAAAAATATCTATGGATACCATATCCAAGAGGAATTTTGGGATGGATCATCAAAAGCTATTTTTTAGGCCCAAAGATAAACTGATTAACTGCTTCACAATTGTGCTGAGATACACAGCCCAACATCAGCAGAAGATGCGCCTACATAGCAGAACTTTATCCCTGCTCGTTTTGACAGTTCTTAGAGGCAAAGTAGGTTCACAAACACAACAGACTTCATGCCAATGGCTTCTAAAACTGTATTTTTTTAGTAAAATATAGATAATATAAACTTAACATCATATGAATCTTATTCCCAAAACCGACAAATGAAGAAGTTTACTTAGAGAAGCATGGTTTCATTTTTATGGTTAGAAGATAATCAAATTTCAGTATCACTCCTGCTTGGCATTTACGTCTCCTGTTGGCTTTGAGACAGACTCTTGTGCACCAGGTTCAGATTCCAGACCCTCCTGTCAATGTATTGGAAAACCGTTAGGCATTAGCAACCGGAAGAAAAACATGAATAGAGATACCTATGTGAACAAAAAAATAGTGAAGCCAAGAGTCAAGATGGCAGTAAGCAAACAGAAACTCACTCAACAAATGCAGCAATCAAGAAAACTCAATCAAAAGCCACGATTAGAATAGAAAAAGCATCTCAACCATGTGAAACTTATGACTTAGTTGCTAGAAAATGGACGTACACTCCACAACTAGATCAGATAGCTAACCAAGATAGGAAATTAAGCTTCATCTTTGTCTCAACATCAAAATTCAAAGTGCATCACATATTAGTCTGATTGATTGACCAAATCATAAAATTGAGAAAAAGGGGAAGATCTTGCTCAAATCTTAGTCATAGGGTCATAGCCACCGAAACTGAACAGGAATACACCGAAAATGTTCAAGAATTCATGGGAAATCCAATCCATGATAGCAACAATTGTTTCCAACATAGGGGATGGGGTGCTCAAAACCTTTATATACCATGCTATGCAAAAATTTCTAAAGTTTCACCTAAAATATATATTTTTTTTTCCAAGGGGTGGAAAATCTAAGAAAGAGAACTACAAGCACAGTCAAAACAAAACAGTATAAAACAGTATATCAGGAAATCATCATCTTCTAAAATGGATAGTATCAGCCTTATTAGATCATAAATGTCTTCTTCCTATTGCAGTTAAGCAAAAATAACAGAATGTAACAACTTCCTTCCCTTCCCGGCATTGAATCAAACTCATAGATGCTTAATTGATTCATACAAAGCATGCCTAGATACTTCCAAACATCCATACTAACAAAACAAGCCTCACAGTAACTCATAACTGCAAACACAGGATCATAAAATTGATAAAAAGAAAAGAACAGAATTTACTAAATAATTTAGTTGAAAATGTAACTCACCTTACTAGTGACGGTAACATCCTTTCTGGGTCTATAAGGACACGCCGGAGGAACCCTAACCGGTTTCCTGTACTCCCATCCAAAAACTCCATAGATTTTTCCCTGAAAATGTGAATAACAAGGGAATCAACGAATCGAGGAACAAGGATTCGGCAAAATTGAAACAGAAACAGATGAATTAAATTATTACCATGATGTAATGGAAGAGAAGAGGCAATATGTTGACGATCGGGACGAGAAAGAGCGGTAACAAACAAAATATACAAACCTGAACACAAATCGAAATTGGAATGAAAGAACAATTTAAAACTAAAAAATAAAAATAAAAATAAAACGGAATTCAACAATAGTTACCATCTTCGACTTGATTTTCTGATTAAGGAGGGCAGAGAGAGAATGATGAAGCTCGATCGGCGATTGAGTCAGGGGGAATTTCAACGATTTTGTTTTGGTGACTTCAATATGATGAAAACCAATGAGCCCTTGAACTTAGTTCTTTCTCCGAATTTCGCCCTCAAATTTATTTTCAGGCCAGCCCACGTATAATTATTTTTTTGCTGAGTGTTCTTATTATGTATGGAGCTGTGTTATTACCCTATAAAATAAGAATTATTGCATGGAAGGAAAGACCTGCTCTTATCCCGTGATTCAAGTTATGAAATTTAGAATAGTCTAAATTAAACAATATTTATTTATTTATTTATTTTTAAAGTGATGTACATCTATATAAATAAAAATATTTAATGCAATTTGTATTACGCTAAACTGCATTAAACTAACTTTTGAATAGGAAGCAGATCACCTGATACAGTACAAAGGCTTGTCTCATCATCCCATGGTCTTTTTTTTTAATAGTTTGATAAAATTTAGACCCTATAAAATGACTTATATATAAAAATTAATTTAATTATAACACATTTAAAAAGAAGAAGAAGGAAAAATTAAAAGAAAAGAAAAGAAAAAAACAGAAGAAGAAGAAGAGAGAGATCCTAATTCACTCATTTGTATCCAACCCTGTCAAGGAAATTTTCTCTTCTACAGGGAAAAATAAAGGAGAATTAAAAAGATTAGAGTTAATGGCTTGAATGCCATATGTTAAAGCAAATATAACATTTAACAAATCAAGGTAGGTGTATGTATCGAAAAGTATTAAGATAAGTGACAATATACATCTTCTATCCCAAGCAAATATTATGATTTTGGATATATGGTTGTTAGTAACATGGCAAATACATTTCCCATTCATCCAAGAAGAATTTTCACTTGATCATTGTGTAATCTCGCCCTTACAAGGAACATTGCGGTGATAAACAGGTCTACCGGAAGCCTCCCAGCCACTGAAGCCGCACTCCAACACCAAAACACTTTCTATCCAGTGTTTCCTTCATCTCTAGATAACTGGTAAACCTCCTTGCACAAGTCAGGCCACGGATTCATCGCTGAGCAAGAAAGGGGTTGAAAAGAGATCTCCTTATGACTGGAAAAAAAAAAATGCTCAGTACAAAGAGCAAGCATTTTATATCATCAGAACCAACTCAATTGTCACTAAACTAGCAATTTTGACGTTGAACATTACATTCTGCTAACCCTTTAATGCCCTATCATGAATTCCTCTCTAAAGTTAGTTTGGGTGCTTAGGTTTTCCATTCATCACTAGAGGCTTCCTGTTGTATCATGTTTGAGCACCTCTAATACTTATTTTTTGGACAAAATTTCATTCTGCCGATCTAAAACTAAAAAATTACTCACTCTTTTTATCTCTTAATTATAGAGATTATATCTTTCCTCCCTCATGGGATTCTAAGTAGTAATAGAATGAAGAATTGGACATAATCAAATTAAGCAAAGATAAAAAAAAATATTGAAACCCAGTAGAAGCAAAAGCGAGAGTAAAACCTGGCTCTGAGTGCAATGGGAAACAAGGGTATCTTTTCCTTGGACATTTTGAATCAGATCAGAGATCTTATCAGTGAAGGTCTCACTGGCATGGTGCAGCCACCCAGCTATTTGCTCGTTGTCCCTTAAATCATGAAACAGAGGAAGAGAAGAATCAAAAACTGAGCTGGAAAGAGAAAGAAAATCAGAGAAAGAGCAGACTATGATTGAACCTGACATCAATAATGGTGATGCTTGGGCAGGGTCTGAGGGAGAGAAGCTGTGCGTCTGTTGTATACGAGATGCTTCAAGCAATTGAATCTTCTTCCTTGTCTGGAAGAAACAGCATGGGTTTGATATTATGCTGCCAACTAGGCCAGTCCCAGGACTAATGCATGTAATGGCATCTCTAGTAGCAGGGATGATTTCTTCCCTAAAGGTTTTGTATTACCTACTATCTGATACTGATGCTTTTCGTTCCAAAAGATTTAATGGAATGAAAATGTTGAAGGAAATTTAAGACCAGATACACAAAATGGATGGTAACAAGCAGAATGAATTTGTAAACCTGAATTTCAACCCAAACACGGAATTGTTTTTCCAAGGGTTCAGAAAAGACCATCTAAATTAAACTTCAAACGAATACTGTTGTTGAGCCTATGCTTGAATACCGAACAGATGTCTATAAAAGAAGGTAAATACAGATTATAACCAAATAAGAGAAACATTTGGACTTAGCTCAGAGCCAAGTTTCAGGTCATTATTAGGTCCTTCTCTTCATAGAACTGAAAAGGCCATGTGAACAGAACACAGAACATCTGCTTTTGAATGGTGAACTTATGCAAAGACAGCATGCTAAAACAATGTTCAGCATACAGCCAAACACATATTGGTCTTGACTCCAGAGACAATGGTGAAAGACATAAAGAGATAGGAAAAGCATACAGCAATTACGACATCCTACGGTAATTTCTAAGACAAGCAAAGAATCTGAGCTTCAAACAGATATAAGATATCCAAAGGATCTAAAACAGATCTAGCTTCACTCACTTTCCCCTACTTCCTAAAAATCAGATGTAGTGAAGCAAGTTCCAATGTCTTGGACAAACGTACCAAGAGGTACAAACCCCAATTCTTAGATCATTTACTGAACATCCTACAATGGCATCAATGAGTGAAGCATCAAAAAAAATAAAAAAACCAGCATGCAAATGAACCAGAATTTTGATCAAATTGGCTAAATATCATATGATTCATATTGCAATCATAAGAGATAAGGGTTACAACATAGAGCACTGTAACTAGCATATGGGAAACTATAGAAGCCAACAGAAACCTCATAGCCAGATCCAGACATGGCATTTGTTTAGCTGTAGTAGAAATCCAATACGATACCCTGAGAAGGAAAGCACTGGTTAGCCGGTAATCATGGTTCCGGCACCCTCATCAGTCATAATTTCACGAAGCAAAGAGTGCTCTACACGGCCATCGATAATGCTGGCAGTCCTGACCCCCTGAGCCAGGGAGCGGATGCAACAATTGACTTTGGGGATCATGCCACCGCCAATCTTCCCTTCCTCAATCATTTTCTTCATACCCTTTATATCGATTTCCTTCACAAGGCTGTTGGGATCCTCACGGTCGGCTAGAATCCCAGCCACGTCAGTCAACAGAATCAGCTTCTCTGCACCTAAGGCCGCCGCCAGCTCACCCGCCACTGTATCGGCATTGATGTTATAAGACTGCCCCAACCCATCAGCAGCCACAGAGGCAATAACAGGGATATGCCCATTGGTCACAAGAGGTTGGAGGACGGAGGGGTCCACGGACGCCACCTCCCCAACGAAGCCAAGCTGGGCTGCATTGGGAGAAGGTCGAGCCACCAGGAGGCGGCCATCCATACCGGAAAGACCAACAGCAGTGGCGCCAGCGTGATTGATACGAGAGACAAGGTCCTTGTTGACCTTACCCACGAGCACCATCGAGACCACCTCCATGGTCCTGGCGTCAGTCACGCGGAGCCCATCACGGAATTCTGCTGGAATATCAAGCTGCTTCAAAACAAAGTTGATTTCCGGGCCACCGCCATGGACAAGCACCGGTCGGAGACCCACGCAGGAGAGAAGAACCAAGTCCCTGACAACTGAAGCTTTCAGCTCCGGCGATTTCATGGCAGCACCGCCGTATTTGACTACGATGGTCTTGCCCCTGAACTTCTGGATGTAGGGGAGTGATTCTGAGAGGATTTGGACCCGGAGTTGTTCCGATGAAAGGGTTGAGGTCACTGGGGGTGTGCCATTGACGGCAGTTGAAGTTGATGCTCGGATGCGGAGAAAAGGAGATTTTGGGGTTGAAGAGAACGTGAGTTTTTGGGGTTTTTTGAAATTGAGAAGGTGAGGTTTTGAGAGGAACTCACGGGAAGTGATGGATTTGGGTGCAGCTCTTGTCGTGTTCATCTCTCTCTTCAGTCCCCTTTGCCTTTGCCTTTGCCTCTGCTTATGGTTTGTTCTAAGACTCTCCTCTAACCCTACTGCCACTACTGGGATTTTTCACTTTCCTTTCCAGGGTCTTTCTGGTTATGGGCACAGTAAGTTGACATTCACAAAATTAATTTTATCAATCTAGCTAATTAAAATTATGCATGAAAAGTAAATCATATAAATAATTAAGTAGTTATTTTTTTTCATTAAAAATAAAAGATTTTGAATTTAAGTTGTATGTCATATCATACAGGTTAAGTAAAATAAAAAATAAAATATGAAAGGCAAAAATGAAAGATTCTAAATTTAAGTCACATATTATACTTATTAAGTGAAATAAATAATAAGAGATGATTGCTTCGCAACTAAGATAAAAAAGATATCATGCATAAAAAAAAATTAATGTATCATTCAAAAATGCTTCTTTAAAAAAAATGATATTTTTTTTATCATACCGCCTTAAGTAACGCATTGGGTCATATATTTCATTTCATTTATATGAAACAACATGGGTATAGGTATTGTTATCAATAAAATTGTTAAAATTATTAAAATTTTAATTTTTTAAAAATAATATTTAAACATATTAATTAATTAATTAATCTTAATTTATTAATTAATAAATATTAATTATGTTATTAACTATTAATTATAATTATAATTATTTTATTAATTAAATAAAATAAAATAAATATTTTTAAAAAAATAATATTTTATGATTTTAGTGATAACAACATTATTGTTGATAATAATAACTGTGCCCAAACAATATAAATGTAAGTAAATATATACAAATTCTGCGGAGCTACCTTATGTACTGAGGAAGCACTTATGGTTATATACTCCAAATTAGTATTGGATACCTTTGTCTAAACTTTCAAGAACAGATAATACATTTCTGCTAATACTGTATCTTGAAACATTGGAATCCTCAGAAAATTGCCCTTTTAGTTTTTCCTCTGTGTTTTTAGCAAATCTGCTAGAATTGTTAAAAGAATGTCTCAATGATTTAATTTCCTCCAATATTCCAAATATAGTATTTTACGCATAATATCATTTCTAAAAATTTAACAAATTTATTTATATTAGCTTGGCGTCTGATCTCCTTAAATATTCGAATAATCATGTAAGTTAGATTTTCATAAGTCTCTCATGTAAATGTAAGTCATAACATTTAAAAGACATGTTTGAATAAACCATCTTTTATGGAATATCTTTTAAACCACAAAAGAAATACTAAGGGCATGTTTAGTACAGCGGTTAAAATTCAGCAGATAGTGGGTAGCGGGTAACGGGTAGCGGATAGCGGATAGTTGTAGTGGGTAGCGAGTGACGGTTAACGGATAGCGGATGACGGATAACGGAAAGTGGGTAGCGGATGGTAAATAACAGATTTGATAAATATAACTGTTTGGTTATACAATAGTTAGCGGTTGTTGTTTAACATCAAATGACTAATAAGGACATGTTTAAAAACAAAAAAGTGTATTTTTTAAAATATTTTTATTTTTTATTATTAAAATTATTAATTTTATAGAAAAAATAATAATAAAATAAATAAATAAAATTAATTATAATAATGTAATTACACCCTTATTTTTATTTTTAAAAAAGAAAAAATTATATTATTTTTAAATAAAAATTAATCATTTTGTTTAATTAACAAATTTTATTTTTTAAGATAATATATTTTTTAATTATAAATTAATATACAAAAAAAATATTATAATCACTTAATGTTATTAAAGGGAAAAAAAACAAAACTGAAATTTATTAGATAATTATTAATTAAAAAATGTGACCACAAATTAAAAAATTAAAATGGATAAATTTATCAATAAAATTAAAAAATTATAATCCACTAGCGGTTTGGTACAAAAAGCTACATAAACTAGCTTTGTCAATCCGCTAGCGATTTGGATCTTAACTGCTATCCGTTAGTTTCAAACCGCTAAATAAAAATTTTACCAAACACTTTAATTGTAGCGGTTTCGAAATATATAAATTTACCAAACATCTATATTTAGCGGTTTAGGTAAAACCACTAACCGCTACCTCAAAACCGCTATACCAAACATGGCCTAAGTAATATAATACACTCCCTTAATAATAGTAGTTTTAGAACATGTTTGAGTTTGTTTGTAAGAGTTTTTACTTTCTTATATTGTTTATGAGTTTATGAATGATAAGTTTAAATTTTTATTGGAGGAAAAATTTAAAAATTATTTTTAAATATAAGAAAAATTAAATAAAAAGGAAATTTATGAAAAATTTGAATTTGAAACTTTTTAATTTTTATTGTTTGAAATCTTTTTAAAGTTAAAAAAATTTTAAAAATATAAGTTTTTATGAGGAAAATTTAAACTTATAAAATATGAATAGTGTCAAAAAGCTGAAACACTTGGAAGCTGAACCAAACATGCTTTTAATTTGATGTTTTAAATAAAAAATTTAGATAAAAATTTAACATTGTAAATAAAATTTAATTAAAATTATTTTTTATATGTAATTTTTGTTTAATAATTTTATTTGATTAAAAAAAAACTTTAAATATCATTTATGTTAAATTTTTACTTAAATTTTTTATTTAAAAAAAACAACAATTATTATTATTATTTAACAAAAGAAAAGTATAGTTCTAATAAGATGATTCAATAGTTACGAATTCAAAATTTTAATTTGAAGTTTTTAAATTTAAACTTTGAATTAAATAAAGAAGGATTTGAAAATTTGAATCTTGAATCAAATAAAAAAAATTGAAAATACAAAAAAATTATCTTTTTTTATATCATCCATAATAATAAAAAAAAGACAGAAGGAGAATATTTATTTTCTTTATTCTTTCTTAAACAAAAACAAACAAAATTGCAAAGGCAGCAGGCATTGAGAAAATGACATCAACGGTTTGCTTTGTTTGATGGGATTGGAGGGAGAAAGGCAATGTCCTTTCGTTTCTTTATCTCTTTCCGCTCTCTTTTCATCATTTGGATATGTACTAAAATGTAAAAGATATTAAAACAAAATAAGATCAGCAAATATCTAGTTCCTGAAATCAAACAAACTCAAATGAAATATCCTCCTCCATTACGTTTTTTTTTTGTTTTTTTTTTAAGAAATATCCTCCAAAAAGGTGAAATATAAACGTAACTATATTTTTTTTTACTAATCTTCAGCATTTGGAATCATATTATATTTTAATTAATTTAAAATTAAATTAGGTTAAATCTCAAAAAAAAAAAAAAAACATTTCCTAACACTTATTCCTTTATTCACAAAACTTATATTTAAGATTTTATTAAAAAAAATAAATTTCTTTTATTTAAATTAATAGACCATTGATAACATAATTATATTAATTAATTGTTTTCTCACGTAAAAGTTAATTAATTATTATTTTTTTTAAAGCATGCATGTACCATTGCTCAAATAAAACGGATCCGCATCAAGCCATCAACCTGACTGCTCAAATAGGAGACAAATGTTATAGTCTAACGGTCTAAAATTAAGGATTAATAGTTTGTCTAATTAAATAATTAATTATTATTATTGATAATTTAAAATTAGTGATTAATAATTTGTCTAATTAATTAACTAATAATAATTAATTATTAGTTTGTCTCATTTAAGATATGCAATCTGTAATCAGAGTATGGTTGTTGGTACCGTGGTCCATGGCAATACATTTCCTTTTCAGCCTAGAAGAATTTTTCACTTGATCCTTATGCAGTCTCACCCTTGCAAGGGACATCCGTGCAGTGGCAAACAGGTCTACCGGAAGCCTCCCAATCATTGAAGCCACGCTCCAACACCAAAACATTTTTTATTCCTGTGTCTTCTTTCATCTCCTCCAGATAACTGGTAAACCTCCTTGCACAAGTTGGGCCACGGACCTAGAAAAACAGGAACAACATGTTCATTAATCATTGCTTTATGGAACCATTTTGCCTCATTGAGGTTTAGGTAATGGCGCCATTCATGAGATTGTGAGAAAGAAGTCACAAGGAATACACTGGATAATATAACACAGTAGTACGAATGGATCATAGAATATGATTGTGTGAGTTTGAACAGCATGTTGCAGATACAAAGAGTGAATGCAGTGATGTAAAGCAAAATTCGTGAAACTATATGGTCCACCCAATAGCAAGATAATGCAGAATGGCCTCTATTAATGATGCTGTTGGCCAGGAGTGAGAAGATAATAGTTTGGATCCGCCAGAGGACAAAAAGCATGGTTTCATTCTTGCTGACGCTCAGAAGGAGTGTAGACTTTTGTTGTTAACAAACAAAACTGCTTATGTAAATATGGTTGTAAAGAAGTTGGAGACTGCCAACAGAAGAAGGAAGCTCAAATATGAGGGAATGCAGATAACAAATATGCAAAATATTATCAGAGAAGATTATGTCAAATCGGATAAAATTCATATGGGCCGCCACATCTCACAAGAATAAGGAGAAAACAAGGCAGTCAATCTTTGATGAACCTTCAATTATATCAAATTCAAGATAAGAGGTGAAGTTGATTCAGTATAGCTGTTTCATATGACCACTGAACTTTGGATAACAAGCCATGAAGGATAAATACAGAGAGCCAAGCAAGGAGATGAATAGCATCTAAAACCAATGAAAACACTCTAAATTGGAGACTTATTTGGACACATTGGCCACTTAAATGTCCTCAAAAGCTGCACTTTCATTTACTTGCCACAGATGCTAGACTGAGCAAGAAGGGGGTTGCAAAATGATCTCCCATGTAATGGAAAAATGCCAAGTACCAAGCATCCCTGAAGTAATGAATAATTTTAAGGTGGAACATAGACACTGCTTGATGAGGGACCGTTTAAATTGGTTATTAGATAATCTCAAGACAAGATGCAAGTCCACATGAGAGAATGAAGACAGGGAAAATCCACCTATATAATTCAATAACTCTACCTGACACACCAACATCAATCTCCCCAGTTGCAATTTCCAACCTGAAAACTTATTTGTTGATGGAGCCTAGTTTTTATTTATTCAAAAACTCAATCAAATGCTACTATTTCCTAATATATATGTCTAGTTGAACAGACTTATAATCCTAACTACTTCGAAAAATCAATGAAATTTCATAATTTTCAGATCTTTCTAGTTATTTTTTGGCCAGTTTCAATATTTCTACAAACCAGGAAACAGCTAATTCCTCAAGTGAGAAAATTAAACAAAACTGCATCAATCCAACCAAGATGAAGCACATTAACATCAAAACCAACTCAACCGTATCAAAAGATTATATCTTTCTTCCCTCGTGAGATTCTAAGTCCTCATAGAATGAAGAATTATCAAATTAGATTATAATCCACGAATCAAAGATAAAAATACTGAAAACCAAACAAAAAGAAAAAGCAAAACCTGGCTCAAAGCGCAATGGAAAACAAGGGTATCTTTTCCTTTGACATCTTGAATCAGGTCGGAGATCTTATCGGTGAAGGTGCCACTGGCGTAGTGCAGGGACCCAGCTATGTGGCCGTCGGAACTCCTCTCGTCGTCCCTAAAATCAAGAAACAGAAGAAGAATCAAACCTGGACCGGAAAAAGAAAGAAAACCAGAGAAGGAGAGGGCTATAGTTGAACCTGACGTCTACAATGGCAATATTTGGGCGGCGCCTGAGGGAGAGAAGCTGCGCGCCTGTTATGTAAGAAATGCTTCGAGCCATTAAGAATCTTCTTCTTCCTCTTCTCTTGTCCGGAACAAACAGTCTGAGGTCTAATATTATGCTGCTAATTTTCCAATGCGATGTCGTTTAAGCTTTGCGCATTGTTGAAATATTAGATTTTAAAAAGAAAATAAATGATAAAAAAATCAAGGTTAAATATTAATTTTTTAATTCTTAAACTTTTAATTTTAAATAATTTTAGTTTTTAAATAATTTTTTACATTTATTTAGTCTTTGAGAAATAAAAAATAGTTTTTTTAATCTTTTTTATCAGTCTAATCTATTAAAATTTTCTATATAAATATATATTTAATTTTTAATATATACACATTTTTAATTCTTTAATTTATACTAAAAATATGCATATAAGGTATTAATTAATGTTTAACGAAGTGAATTATTTATAAATTAATGATAAAAAATAAAAAAAGATTAAAAATATTTAAAATTGAAAATTTAGA